TGATGGTGAGGTCTTGTGTTTAGCTTTTTGTTACCGGACTTAATTAGATTGTTGATTTTAATTTAGATTTATTGGTTGAAAAGGATGGTGGAAAAAAACTGTGTGCGGCGTCGATTTTTGGTGAGCAAAATCCATTTTGTTTTTTCGAATATGAAATTCTGTTTCTCTTATATTTTTTCTTTTCGTTTCTTTTCTTTTCAACTGTGTACATATTCTTGATTAACAAAAGTAATTTTGTTCCTGATAGACCTCTACAGTTCCTTCTAATTGATTCTTTTAGTAGGTTGTTTGAATGATAATGTATGAATACTGAAGGAAGATGAAGACTTTTCTCGTTTTATTTCTTCATTTGTAGTTTCTCTGTTTTTTCTCCCAATAAATTTCTTCATTGATAAGGAAAATTGTCAGCTAGATGAAAAATTCAGCAAAATCTCTCTCTCTCTCTCTCTCTCTCTGTCTCTTTGTTATTAATCGGCCAATGTTGCTTCTGGAAATTTCTTTTCACCTTAAATGATGAACAAAACTCTACTTTACCTAATTTTATTGATCATTTCATATTCACCCAAAAAAAAAAGCAAGAAAATATATCCTTGGATGACTTGCATCATTCTTTGTGTCATTTTCACTTGGCCCACTTGCAAATTGTAAACTCAGATCATAGTAAGAGTTCCATAGTTGCATACAAGTTGTAACTGCAAAGATGGCACCAAATATAAAACCAATTCTTCATGTTACTTCCCTTTTTATAATTTAAATTTATTTCAATTTATATAGGTACCACTAATGGAGGCAGTGGCTCACATCCACGATCGAGGAGTGGCCCATCGAGACATCAAGCCTGACAACATCCTCTTCAACTCCTACGACGAGCTCAAACTCGCCGACTTTGGTTCAGCCGAGTGCTTTGCCAACAGCGGTTTGATGTCTGGCATTGTGGGGACACCTTACTACGTGGCTCCGGAGGTGGTGGCTGGAATGGAATACGGTGAGAAAGTTGATGTGTGGAGTGCAGGCGTGATCTTGTACATAATGCTATCTGGGATCCCACCTTTCTATGGAGAGTCGGCTAGGGATATTTTTGAGGCCGTGCTAAGGGCAAATTTGAGATTTCCCCGGGCCGTTTTTGGGTCGATCTCACCGGATGCTAAGGACTTGCTGAGGAGGATGCTCTGCAAGGATGTGTCGAGGAGGTTCTCGGCCGACCAAGTTTTGAGTAAGCACTCCTTTTGTTTACTTATACGCGCTTGGAATTTTTTGTATTATTCTCATAATGTTTGTTTGTTTGTTTATTACGGATGACAAATCTCATTTACTCTTGTAAATTCGTACACTTAGGTGAATGTGAATGCCATCTGTATATGATGATGTCATTGTGGTACACGTGACATTTACGTGATGTGCTAAAACACAAGGTGAAACGGGATATGCGTTTTTCCTTCTTTCTTTCTTTCTACGTTTTCTCTTTGTTTTGCGTTATTGTTGTTGATTTCTCTCTTCGTACGATGATGATTTAGGAGAATTTGTTTTAGGAAACCGATCCTACACGCATGCGACCGAGTGTGTTGTAACATGATATTAAAATTTCTTTACAATAAATTTAAATCAGGACATCCATGGATGACGAGTGATGAAGAAGCTAGAGCAATGGACTGACTCGGTTGATAAGAGGTTCGGAGGCTTTTGAGAACAAAAGACTATGAACATATGTTGTTGTGTAGGCAACCCTTGTTGTTGTTTGTGTGTGTAACTATGTAGATAACTAGTGGCTAAGTGTAGTAAAATTCTGCACAAAGGTTTTGTACAAATTTGATGCAGAAAGCAGAACTGAGAAAATGTGGTGGGCATAACTGCAAAGTGCCTTCTCATGCTGTTGGAGTGTTTAATAGTCACCCATTTTGCCTACCTCACCTCCTTTTACTATCTTTTTTTCCCTTTTCCCTGGAATCTGTGTAGTTAAAGAAATAGATATTTTATAAATTTAGTACTGATAAAAGAAAGTGCAATATTATAATCAAGATGTAATAAGAAAACGTTAATAAAATAAAATAAATAAACAAAATTCAATATAATTTAGATGAAGACTAGAATTTGACATTGTTTTAAGACGGACTAGTATGTAACCCGTGTGATGCACGAGTCAGAGATGTTTTTTATTTTTTTAACGAAACGATAGAGAATATTATAAATAAAAATGTGCAAAGTACATAGCCCCTAGCTGAATAGTACATCCAATAGTTAAAAATTGGGAGGACAGGTCATAAGACAGCCTAGAGCCCGACTAGCAACGCTATAAAACAATCTCAAAACAACACAACACAAAGACTAAACTAAGACGACCCCAAACAGAGTAAAGCGGAACGATCCCTAATGGAGTAATGTGGAATGACCCCCAACGAGGTAGCCCGCTCACACTCGAGCTTATAGGGACCAACGGTCCAAACCAAAAACACAAGCCTAAACAACACAAACGAAAAGGACAAAAAACAAAATAACCATAATCAAGCCTTTCCCCAACTAACAAACGAGCCCGACCAGCAAAGAACAATCAATTCAAAAAAGATCTCGAGCCCAGGCACAATTACCGAAACTTCGAAACCGCCTACACAAAAGCCGAAAGAATTACATTCATGACATGCATTTACTATTCTAAACAGATTTTAGAAAATTATTAGTATTATTATATAAATTGGATCATAAGATTATGATAATTTAAAAACTTAAAAATCTTCATCAAGAATACGAATTTTAAGCTCGTGTCAATGCCATCTTTATAGTTTTGCCCCACCACTTGTTGGTTTCATCCTTTCGATATCCACTCTTTTTTTTTTGGTACAATGAAGGAGGCGATGGCCTTAGACAACTATATTACGAGCATAAGAAACTCCTATGATATCGTGAGTTAACCACGGTTTAACCCCCGTGGGTGGGTCATTTAGGACGTGGAGCCCGGTCGGCATGGTTGAGGCCAACGCCGCGAGAAAGTCGGCTGCGAAATTTTCTTCCCGATGGATATGGCGAATCTCTACTCTCCACTCCCTAGCCAACAAGTCGCGAATCCCTGAAATGATAGAACTGGAAACCCCGGTCGGGACCGCATCTTGAAGCACCATCTTCACCACACTATTGTTATCAACCTCGGCTACAACTATCCGATGCCCCTTATCCCACGCCAAATTTAGTCCCTGGAATAAACCCCATAGCTCCGCACCTATGATTGAGCAAAACCCAATGTTCATCGCAAACCCGGATATCCACCTACCCCATTCATCACGCACTAAGCCGCCTGCCCACGCCATTCCCGATTGCCGATTGAAAGCGCCGTCCGTATTTACTTTAACAACCCCCGCTGGTGGATTCGACCAGGATAGCCATATTTGTTCTTTGTGTAACAACGTTCCCATTTCTTTTGTGGAAAAAATAGCAGAGTTAATTCCATCAACCAACTTACTGATTGTCGCCACTCGCCGTTGAACGTTAAGACTCTGCCCGTAAAAAATGAAGGCATTCCTATCCTGCCATAATCTCCATAAAGTGACACCAAAGACTCGGCACCAATCCTCCACGTGCACATGCAGCGCATTAATCAAATTTTGACTCACCCAATCACATAAGTCCAGGCTGAAGAAAGAAGCGTGATGTTGGGCTGGGAGAAGATTCTTCCAAGTACGCTTAGCGTGGCTGCAGTCCCTAAGACAGTGGAGGCTCGTTTCCTGCCCATGCCCGCACACTTCACACATAGCGCTAACAGAGAGATGCCGATGGTAACGTTCATTGTTAGTTAGCAGGCGATTTTTTATAACTAACCATAGGAACTGACGAATCCTTTGCGGTCCCGTCCAGCTCCAGACCTCCTTCCACAAATGCCTATCAGTTGTCGTGTGCTCATCCTCTAAGGCGCTGTATGCCGACCTGGTAGTGAACCGCCCATCCGGAGACCACCCCCAGTAGATGACATCATCACCCGAGCTCGAGGAAGGTATTGGCACCGCAGCAATGCGTAAACATGTTGAAGCAGGCAAGAAATCTTGGAAGAGATCCCAACGCCATCCTCCAGTCTCATTAACGAATTTATTCAAGGTCCAATCAAGTTGCTCTCCCGGAATCGTGCGGACAGCGACATGTATTAGGATTCTCGAGCCCGGGAGCCAACAGTCCTTCCAAAAAGGGCCCTTTTTCCGTTGCGAATAGACCATCGGATCCCATCGACAACTTTCTTCCATACTTTTGTAATTGCGCGGATGACGGTGGAGCCACGCGGGAAGGCCAAAGATGCCTCCAAGTTGTCTAAGGTTAATCCATACTTCACCTTAATTACTTGAACCCACAGGTCATTAGGAGATGTCAACATTCCCCATCCCAACTTCATTATTAAAGCCTTGTTCATTTTGCGCTGGTCTTTAAACCCCAGCCCACCGTCCGCCTGTGGCCGGCATAGCTCATCCCAACGGACCAGGTGAATTTTCTTTTGGCTGTCCGTACTACCCCATAGAAAGCGGCGACACCTTCTATCGATTCCGGTACAGACCGAGGACGGCAGCCATGCCGTTTGCATGGAATAGAATGGCAAGGTGCTCACCACTGATTGGATTAAGGTAGTCCTCCCCGCCAAAGACAACGCAGAGCTCTTCCACCCGGCCAACCTCATTTCCGCTTTATGTAAGACGTTAGCATACGTCTCGTGAGTCACTTTCCCATGAATGATGGGCATCCCCAGGTACTTGCCCAAGTTGTCGACCCGCTCAAAACTCATAAAGGAAGCCAAGTCACGTGCCATAGACAGGTCTATGTTCTTAGAGAAAAAGACCTTGGTTTTAGCAGCACTAATTTTTAAGCCGGAAGCTTGACAGAAGTCTCGGAGAATATCGGTCACACACGAAGCTTGGTCGCTCGTAGCCTCACTAAAAAGGAGTAAGTCGTCCGCAAACATCAAATATGGAATCTTAACTCTACCGCGGCCCAAAGAGATCGGCTTCCATTTTCCGTTATTAACATGGTGATTTATTGTCAGTGCTAAGCGTTCCATACATAGCACGAAGAGGTAGGGGGAAATCGGGTCTCCTTGGCGAATCCCGCGCGAAGGGATGAATTCCTCTCCCGTGACCCCGTTCCACGAAAGTTGCATGGAGCCCGAGGATACACATGTCATTATGCTTTTCACAAAAGATCGCGGGAAGCCGGCTAGCAGTAGCGTGTCTTCCAAAAAGTCCCACCTCAAATAATCATAGGCTTTTTCGAGATCCACTTTAATCACCATAAAGCTCCGTTTCCCCGTCGAAGTTCTCATAGTATGAATAAGTTCCTGGGCAATGATGATGTTGTCCGTAATATGGCGACCGGGGATAAAGCTGACTTGGGCTGGTCCGATGAGGAGTGGCATAAATCCCTTCATTCTGGTAGTGAGAACATTAGTTATAAGTTTGTACACCACATTCAATAAACTTATCGGGCGGAAATCTTTTAAGGTACTTGGGTGCTCGACTTTAGGAATTAACACGATAAGTGTTCTGTTGAGTTGTTGAGGCATGTCCCCTCCATTAAAGATGCTGCGGACGACGCTACACACTGAAACCCCCACTGTGTGCCAATTCCGTTGGTAAAAGAGAGCATGCAGACCATCTACCCCAGGCGCTTTGAGAGAGTGCATAGTATTCAGAGCCTGAAGAATTTCGCTGTCTGTGACTTCCCGAGAAAGGCGCTGCCAACCGACATGGTCTACTGATGGGAATCTGACTGGGGTATGGCAGACGGGAGCAGGCGAGGGCCCGGCTGTGTAAATGTTTCGAAAGAAAACGGTGGCCATTTGTTGTAGAATGCGTTGGTCGTCGACCATGGTGCCTTCCTCATTCAGCAATGTGGTGATTTTATTTCGGCGGCGCCGTTGTTTAAGGGACCGGTGGAAGAAAGTGGTGTTTCGATCACCAAATAGATTCCAATCTCGATGGGTTTTTTGTAGCATCAATAATTCTTCTTGAACAAGAACTTCTTCCAAGTCAGCGCTCAAGTCTTTTTCCAGTCGCAGAAGCTTGTCGGTTACGTATAATTGAAGGTGCCGTTGCACGCCTCCCAGTCGAGCCAACAACCGGTTCTTTCTGTGAAAGATGTTCCCGAACACCTGAGAGTTCCACAAACTTGCTTCGGATGTAAAGTTGCTCACCGCAGAAGTATAGTCCGTCGAGTTCCAAGATCGCTCTACCAGGTTCTTAAAATTGTTATGAGTTAGCCAAGCCGCGATAAACCTGAAAGGCTTTGGCCCCGGGCTCTTTATATCCGGTTTCAGACCACACTTTAGCAATAGAGGGATGTGATCGGACTGGTGGCGTGGGAGGTGAGACACAATTGCGTTACCAAAACAGTCCAACCATTTCTCATTTGCAATAACTCGATCAAGCTTTTTCTCGATGTTCGGCCCAAACCACGTGAATTGTGATCCGTCCGTCTTGACCTCCAACAAATTATTCTCGAAGTAGCAGTCTGAGAAACCCGTATCAAATATCCGACCGTGTGCACCCCCACGTTGTTCGGCCGGGCTCAATGTACAGTTAAAATCACCTCCCATTACCCATGGGCTGTTAATGTTGTGTGCTAGGGAATTTATAGCAGACCAGAGATTCCGCCGGCCTCGTGTGTTTGGGCTAGCATACACGAAAGTGACC